AGCAGAGATGTGAGTGAAGACTGAGGAGTTAAAGGCAACCGAATTTGATGTAGATGTCAACTAATCAAGCAAAACACAGCAATGACTGAGAGAGGCATTGGAGCCAAGTCAGACCTGCTGGAGTTTCTCCCTCAGGGATCACTTTATAAGGCTCATAAGCCCAGCTGCAGAGTGTGTATTTCTAATTCTGAAATTTGCAGATAATACCAGAGCAGGGTTTTGTCCTAATGTTCTGTCTCCTATTTTCTGTCACTTAGTCCTTTAGTCGCCCCTTAGTTTTTTTAGCACTAAGAACAGTAAAGGTTGTAGAGAATAAAGTACTGATAATCTGTGAACTTTTGCATTTTCTCCTTTAATAAGTCACTTCTCTAAGTTAAGCTAATACCGCCTTTGTTTCTGGTGTGCTTATTAAACGATACAATGGGCATAAAATTTCTTGTAAATTATGCATACTCTTCAGATGTTGTCTATTTTCACTGGGGCTTCGGTGACTGAACTTTGTGTATCTTTGACCCCACGACTGGACCACAAGCTCCTTTGAAAGGTTCATTTATTTTGTGAAATAAATGGGTGGTTTTTACATTGGGCCTGGCCTTTGGAATACAATAGGTTGGTTCAACCCCAGGCCGGTTAATTACTATCTACATGACTCTGGCCTGGTTATTTATTCTTGTTAGCCTCTAGAATGAAATTGTGATCATAAAATCCATCATCAAGATTAAGTAGGACAATGGACATAATAGCCCTGACACATGATAGGCACACAGCCACATTCGCTGACTTTCTCTTTTAAAGACAAGATGACTCTGGCCAAGCAGACAAAGTGACAAGGTTAAAATGTGCGGCGTTTCTCTGATCAGAATCCTCCAGTAACTTCCCATCTTAGTTGGAATAAAAGCCAAAGTCCTTTTTAAGATATCCTCTGAAGTCATACCTTTACCTAATTTGGCAAGTGCATTCTGGGTTATCACTAGTACAGTTTCCTATGTCAGATCAGCATTCCCAGGCAGGTTTTTAAGCAGTCAGCTGCCCCCAGTGAAGAGGCATGTGTCTGTGCACATCAACTTCCTGTGAGCCACTGCTGCAAGCACTTGGATTTCATCAGTGCACAAAAATCACAGAGGATGTGTTCTAGTTAACTAGAAACTCTGACCCCCTTCTTAAAAAAAAAAAAAATTTAGGCAAAGGGTCTTGCTTCCTGCTTTGTGCAAATTTCATCCAACTCCTATTTTTTGAGGACTGATTTTTGTGCCAGGCAAAGTGTCAGATGCTGAGGATAAGAGGCAAGCAAAGAAACACAGTGCATGTTTCTATGGTCTAGTAGAGGGGACGACCCAAGAAATCGCACAATTACACTGTAAACCTCAATAACTTCCAACTACGTTAAACATTATGAAGAGCGGACGTGGGGTAGTATTGAGATTTTATAATGGGGGGTGGTCCTCAGGGGAGTGAGAATTGGCACGGGATGTGAAGGAGGAAGAAGTGACAGCTTGGAGCAGAGATGAGGACCAATGCCTAAGTAAAATGCAAAGTCCCTTTGGCCGAAGGGAGCGCAGTGGGCGTGAGTACCAATGTGTGCCATGCACGGGGCAGGTGTAGGGCTCCGTGGAAATGTTTCAGATTTAGTCCAAAGGTTAGGGGAGGGAGGGGTGTGGTGAGTGAGGTGCATAACTAGATTTGGGTTCTGTACTGGTTGTAGGTGAATCAGGTTCTGCCTATTAGACCATTGTCTTTGGGCTCCAGACTCAGCCCTCTCCACTGCTTTTGCAATCTTTGTGGGCTCTGTGCAAACTCAATTTCTCCTTTGCCAGTTGACCCTCTTAGGTTGTGCCACTAGGAGGCACTACAGAGAGACCTGGGAGGTAGGAGGTGGGCAGCAGGGACTCCCCGCACTGGCTTGCTTGTGATACCCTTGCAATGACACTGTGCCCAAGAAGCAGCAGTTGGTGTCAACCTTCATCTTCTCCCAGCCTCCCCGGAGGAAGGGGCCTCACTGTGGCCTCTCAGAAATCTCAGCCCACTAACCTGGGAAGCCTGACCCCCAACTTGCAGAGAGCAGACACGGGATGCTCAGCCAGCCTTATTCAGGGGGATTTGACGCCAAAATTCTATTTTAATATAGAAGCAATAATGTCAGTGAGGCTGACAGGCAAGTCATCAAAACAAGGTTCTTGGCCTTAATTGCAGATTAGAATCCTGGGGTGGGGGTGGGGGTGGAAAACCCCAATGCCCACCCACCTCCAGCCCAGAACCAGACTCCAGGGCTGTAACTCCACAGTTCAGGCTGAGAAGCACCCAGGGGGTGAGAGGTCAGGATCCAGGTCAGCTGGTGGCATTCGCCACAATAAATGGAACTATCCGCAGAGGTGCCCTGGGTGTGTTTTGAACCAATTGCTTAGAAATAACTTTCTGTTTCTTAAATTCCACATATAAGAGAGATCATATGATGATTGTCTTTCTCTGACTGACTTATTTCACTTAGCAGAATATCCTCTAGTTCCACCCATGTCCCTGCAAATGGCAAGAACAAAACAGATTATCATAAGGGGTGGGGGATAAAACAAGAGGAGGGAAACAGAGAGGGAAAAAACCCACAAGAGACTCTTAATCACAGGAAACAAACTAAGGGTCGCTGGGGAGGAGGGGGCCGGGGGGCCGGGGGACTGGGTGATGGGCATTAAGGAAGGCTCGTGATGGAATGAGCACTGGGTGCTATATAAGACCGACGAATCACTGAGCTCTACTTCTGAAATCAATAATACATTATATGTTCATTAATTGAATTTAAATAATCTTTTTTTATTAAAAAAAAAAGAAAAAAAAAAAGAACTGTTCAAGGCTCCCTGATCTAGGCCTGTATGGTCTAGGGGCTCAAACCCAGCCCGAGGAGAGAGAGAGAGCTGGAGCAAGAGGTTTTTGGGGTCAGCGGGCATCACCAGACCAGGAGCTGAAAACACCCACTGTATCCGCTCTCGGGGCTAATGGGTGGGAGACAGAGGCAGAAGAAAAATCGTTAAATTTCCTTACTACTTGCTGCCCATTGACAAGTCCTTGAAACAGGCAGAGTGACATTCCTCTAGGGACTCCTGTTGACACTTTGCTGAGGGCAAGAGGCAATCTTAGCCCAGCCCCCAGGACCCTGTAAGTCTGCTTTAACACATAAAAATTCCTCTGGAAATTTCCTTTATCTCTACTCGGCAAGATATACGTGCTGGCAATCATCCCCCAAGCATGTGACCCAACTGATTACATCTGAAGGGGCTCCTGACTGAGGGTTGGCTAAACTGTAGTAAATGACCTTCCCCAGCAGTAGGATCCTGGAGACCCTGCTTCCAAAATACCTGGACGGCTTGGGCTATCCCCCCCCCCCCCCCCCCGGGTTTGGAAGTGTGTGATGGGTCACTCCTCAGGGCCACAGGGCGGCCAGCTCTCTCTGCTCACAGGTCCTGTCCTCGTGCTTGAATAAAACCACCTTTTTGCACCAAAGGCATCCCAAGAATTTTCTTGGCTGAGGGCTTGGCACTCTAACCTCTTTTCCTACATCTGTTTATATTGGTAGAAATTTAGCTGTGACCAGAGCCAGGTCTCCCACCGCCGCCGCGCCCCCACACTGTCCCTGCCGCGCGGAGCCATTGGGCCAGCAGCTGCTGCTCCGGCTGCTGCTGCTTCTTTTCTCCTTCTCCTTCTCCTTCTCCTCCTTCTCCTTCTTCTTCTCCTTCTCTCCTTCTCCTTCCTTCTTCCTCTTCCTCTCCTTCTCCTTCTTCTTCTCCTCCTTCTCCTTCTCTTCTTCTTTCTTCTTCTTCTTCTTCTTCTTCTTCTTCTTCTTCTTCTTCTCCTCCTCCTCCTCCTCCTCCTCTTCCACCTTCTTCTTCTTCCTCTCCCTCTCCTTCTCTTCTCCTCCTCCCCCCTCCTCCTCCTCCTCCTCCCTCCTCCTCCTCCCCCTCCTCCTCCTCCTTCTTTTTCTTTTTCTTCTTTCTTCTTCTTCTTCTCTCCTTCTCCTCCTCCTCCTCCTTCTTCCTTCTCCTTCTCCTTCTTCCTTTTTTCAAAGATTTTATTTATTTATTCATGAGAGACAGAGAGAGAGAGAGAGAGAGGCAGAGACACAGGCAGAGGGAGAAGCAGGCCCCATGCAGGAGCCCCATGCAGGACTCCATCCCTGGACCCCGGGGTCACGCCCTGAGCCAAAGGGAGATGCTCAACTACGAGCCCCCCATGCGGCCCGAGCCAGCTTCACTGATGCCATTTTTTGGAAAAGAATCGTGCCCCTCGCTCACCCAGGCCGAGGAAGCACCCCCATCCCTAGCCACCCCGACCCCAGAGTGCGCTCCCCAGGCTCCCCGAGATCCCCCTCCGCCGTGGCCGCAGAGGCCCCGCTGCCAGCCCCCAGCTGAGCGGATTCGGACCCGGGTGGCCCCGCTGCCCCCTCCTTCCTTGGGGACCAGTCAGCGGCTCCGCGCCCGGCCCTTTGTCAACCTGCACCTGCCAGGGCTGGAGGCCCAGGATGCTGCGATCCTTCCCTGGGCCGCGCATCCCCACCCCGGGGACAGACGGACGGACGGTCACCACCCCACCGCCTTCCTAGGAGAGACCTACATTCACAGCTCCAACATACAAAAGCATGTACAAAGAGGCAAATAATTTCCGTAAATCTCAACTTCTACGGATAATTTTTGGTAATACTCGTGTTTCCGTTCAGATGGGCACACACGCGTATTTTAAAAGCAATAATGGCTTAATTTTATTCATAGTGTTTAATTGCTCTAAGTGATCCCATCTGCTGGAATCCTTTAAATAAATACGCTTTTGTAAAAATACTCATTGGTAAATTTCTAACCTCTTCTCTCCTTTATGTTTTATATTATTTTTTGAGCCCTTGAAAGTTGTGTTATGTATTTTGATGGCTGTGGAATGGATTTTTAAGATGTGGATTTATTTTAAAAAACATATGGATTTGTTAATCAAATAGCTTCCACAATTTACTTGTTTACCCTCTTGGATTGCTTGCTGGTCAAATTGTTTCTTTTTTTTCCCCATACATTCCACCTTCCCCAGAATCAATTGAGTTGTGGCCATTGATACGGTCTTTTCTCCAAATCTGTATTCTGAGTGGTCTCCTTCTGTTTCTGCCTCCCCTTCCTCTTCTTTCCGAGAGCGCATTATTTCCACCATTCTTAATTTTCTTAGGTATCTGTGAGTTTTATTCCTTTCAGTCAGAAGAAAAAAGAGCACAGGGAGTTAATTTGGGCATGAGATGTTTCAGACTTTTATTTACTTTTATTTTTTTTAATTTATTTATGATGGTCATACAGAGAGAGAGAGAGAGAGAGAGAGAGAGAGAGAGAGAGAGATGTTTCAGACTTTTAAACAGACTTATGGTCTAGGCTCCCCTCTTCCATGATTTTTTTTCCTTTTTTTTTAAATTGTGGTAAAATACACATAGCATAAAATTTACCATCGTAACCGTACAGACATTAATTACATTCATGTCGTTTGCACCATCTACCTCCAGGACTTTTTTTTCATCTTGCAAAGGTGAAACTCTGTCTCCATTCAAAAATATCTGCCCATTCTCCTGTCCTCCAGACCCTGCACCCACCACTGTACCATCTTTATGAATGAGTCTTTTTGATATTTTTATATAAGTGGAATAATACACTATCTTTCCTTTTGTGGCTGGCTTATTTCATTTACCATGTCTCCCAAGGTTTATCCATGTGTCAGACTTTCCTTCCTTTTTAAGGCTGAATAATATTCCACTGTTTTTAATATGGCACATCTATTTATCCTTTTGTCCACCAACGCACATTGCATTGCTAGCATCTTTTGGCTATTGTGAATAATGCTATTATGAAAATTGGTGTATAAACATCTGTCTGAATACCTGGTTTTGCTTCTTTGGGTATATGCCCAGAAGTGAAATTACTAGGCCATATGATAATCTTATGTTTGATTTTTTTGAGGAACTACCATATTATTTTCCATAGTGTCTGAATCATTTTACATTCCTACCAAGCTCAAGGGCTTGAATTTCTCCATAACCTAGCCAATAATTATTATTTCCTGTTTGTTTGTTTGTTTTTATAATAGTTGCCATCCTAATGGGTATAAGGTGGTTAGAAGATGTTTTTGAGCAAAACTAGAAGATGTTTTTGAACAAGACTAGCCTTATTTGTTGATGAAGGAAGCAGAACATAGATAGCTGTTTGGAGGCTGATGTTTAAATCTCCAACCTGCTGCATTTTACTCCTGACATCTATAGGTATCAACTTGGCTCTCTAAAAACTGCCTTTGTAGCATCCCCTTCTCTATTTTGCTCCAGGTTAGAATTGTTCAAAAGAGAAACGTGTGTGAGATCTGGAGGGCAAAAGGGAGCATGGTTAGCAACCTGAGAGACATAGGCAGAAGGCTGGTTGTTCCAGCTTGGCAGCCCTCTCCTTGGCTGGGAACATCTCATCTCCCCAGGTGGGGCCCTGCAGAGAGCTGTGGCCAGATTCACCCAGGTTCCTTCTCTGACTTCTCCCCTCACAGCCCGGGTCTGCATACAAGAGGGCCTGGCTTCCTGGATCTCCCTGGAAACTCCAGCTTGACCAATCATGCCAGGACTTCAGGAGGGCTGGTAGTTACTTTTCTCTGACCCCACAGCTTCCATTTCTGAACTTTATTTACCCAGGTCCTCCCACGATGTGTGAAGTCTAATATCTTCTAATCAATCTCTTTTCCATAAAACACATAGTGAATCGACTACCCTTTATAGAACCTTGACTGATATAATATATTCTTTTTAGTTTTTCTAGAAATTACATTGATGAGAGACAATATTCTGCCCTTGCAAGATGAGAGATTAGACTTTACGTCAATGACTCTTGATCTTGTACATAAAAACCACCTAAGATATTTTTTAAAATATTGATACTGGGCCCCATGTTAGACAAACTAAATCAGAATACTTAGGGGTTGGAGACTCAGATATAGATATATTTTAAATGATTCTTACATGATTCCAGTGAACAACCAGAGTTAAGACCTACTTTTTTTAGTTAAATAGTTTTCCTTGACCCATGGATTGAAATCACACAGGTACAAAGAATTAACATCCAAATATTGCCCTGAATGTGGGCTGTGCTGAGTAAGCGAAGAGAAGAGAGCATGATTCTAGGGACATAGGGGAGTGTAGGTGGCAGACCAGAGAGTATAAAGCAAAGGCTTGACTTTCTTTTAGAAGCTGAATATAGCAAGCCTGGGAAGGAGTGAAATAGAAACTTCAATTATTTCATTATTTGATAATTTTATTGTGGTTTAGTTCTATTTCATGCATAGGAGATTACGTAAGAGAAAACAAGAAGTCAGAAGACAAGAAATAACTAAAATAAAATGAAAGGGGAGATTGAGATTCAGTTGCTGCAATATTCAAAATGTTTCAGGTTGTTATTTGGCTGCTCATTCAATGGCTAAAGGTTGGCAACAGACACAGATATAAATTAATTCCAAAAGTTATTTTTTTTTTACAACAAAATGAGAAAGACTTTGCCAAGGACCTTAGCAAATCATTACATGAACAATTGGACTCTTGAAAAACTCTAATTTGGAAAGAGTTGAGTGTCAATGTAGAAGAGAGCCTATTATTCCAAATTTTTGAAGAATTTTAAGCTTAAGAATGATACAAAATTTAAAAAAGAATGATACAACATGATTGTTGTATTTAAAAAGATGGTCCAGGCTGTTTTGTGAGTTATCATTTCTGTAAACCTTCACAGTTTACAAAGTATTTTCACATTCGTTTTCTTATTTGATCCTCACTCCAGATTGTGGAAAAAAAAAATCAGTCTCCTCATTCCCTCTTTGGCTTCGGGAAGCTATGTGAATGTGGTTAACTGATTCAGCAAAAGTCACAGTTGGTGGAATGGAGCCCAGGTCTTCTAATCAAAGTTCTAAGCTTCTGAGTACTCTTGGGTTTATCATTACTCTCTTGCACACACTTAAGTTTTTTCATTTCCATTAAAATTTTAGTTTTTTAAGTGATTTACAAAATGCAAGTCAACTGTCTGCTACCTTAATAGAACCATCTTAAATACTGTATGGATACTTTGGTATGAGACAGGTTCCTCCTGCTTAACCTACTTGATGTCTAGCTGAGAGACCAGGTGTATTTCCACACACGATTAAAAGTGTGAGGGTAAAACAAGGAGCATTAAGGAAGTTACTAAAGATTTTCAAGAGTTATTTGTAAGGAGTTAGGACTTGAGGTAGGCTTTATAAAATGAGTAGACATCAGACAGGTAATAGCATAGAGTCTATAGTGAAATTTAGCATCCCCAGTGCTTTACTCCATAATTGTACTATCCATAAATTACCTCCGCCCATGAGCTTCAACAAAGGGAGCTACAATCTAGTAAAACCATTGTGTTGTCTTTGCAACTGTAGCTTCAAAAAAAGCCCTCAGCCTTTCCAAACAGATGGCTGTACCAGAGTACCTCCATTATAAAAATTTTGGAATTTCTAGTGAACAAATAGGAATACTTGAAGACAAATGTACTGAGGTTGGAATTTAGAACATGCTTTTGAAGGATGGTGACACCCAGCCTTAAATTTTGAGGGCAACGTGAATGGAGCTACACTTTGGGAAGACTCAGTTTAGCACAGGGGTAGTCTGAGGTATAATAGGCATGGAAATCACTCGAAGAGATAAGAAGTTTCCTGGAACAATCCAGGTGGTTAGGATACAAACAAGGATGTGGAGAGGTACAAATTGGAGAACCTTTATGGTCAGACGGAGATGAATTGAGGACTGCCAATTAACCATGTTACTACTTGGCATTCAATTTTTCTTAAAAAAAACCTCACAATTGTGTTGACTCATGCTTTACGGTGGCAACACTAGTATGGAGCTTGGGCTTGCTCTTTCAAAACAGGCTCGTTTTTATAAGGGTTTTATTTTAGAGTTTAGAGGGGGCATCTTGTACCATAATGGAATCCTTTATAACATTTCTTAAGCAGTAAGATGGTAATAACACGCACACGCATACAAAACATTCATTTTGCTTCAGGAACACTATGAATTCATTATTTAGATTATAACTGAGTGTTATTAAGTTTTGAACTTCTTGCCAAAATTTAAGACCGATGAATACAGTGATAGACTGCTATTTGTTTTTCAAGGACCAAGACTGAAAGAGCACTTACCCAAACATCATTAGAATTTTTTCATTAACCTACAGTACATTTTTTTCTTTTATTCTAAAACTGTGCTTCATCATGCTCATACTGACATTCAATTTTGACTTGAAGAGAAATTTGTAGTTTATGGTGGTGTGATGCGAGGGGAGGTGCAGACTGATTTGAGAGATATAACCCACAAAAGAAGCTTCAAAACGTCAGCTTGTGGCAACTATCTGTGTTAAAATCACCCAGAGAGATTTTTGAAGTAGCTATTCACAGAGATCCTGTCCCGATAGGTCTTGGATGGATCTTGGGAATCTATATTTATAAAATCTTGGTAGGCAATTTTGGGTGCTTACATTTTTCTAAAGGAGGGATGTCCAGCTACCTACAGTCTCATGTTGACAGTATCCTGTTGAAGAAACCGTCCTTAGAGCCGGTTTTGTTTTTGTTTTTATTTGTTTGTTTTTAATCAAGAAGCTCTCCTTTTCTATATATTTTTTTTAGGTTTGTTAAAACCATTTGTTAGTCTAGAATCAAATCAGGCATTCTACTCAGGCAAAGATTTGCTGTTCGTTCACGTATTTATTCGTTCAACAAATATTTAGCTAGCAAGGTATTTCTTAAACGATATCATGGTAACTAAGATACACTATTCACTTCTTTCATGAAGTTTATATTCTAGTGGGAGAAAGCAATCAGAAAGAGATTTTCTAAACAGAGAGACAGAAAGAGGAGAAATGACCCTAGGGGAGATACATGGCTCAAGGAAAACTTACTTTCCAAGGAAATGTTTGCAAAAGTGTGTGTGCGAGAGACTGTAGGTGTTCGTGCAGTTGCCCCGAGCCGGGGACAGGCCAGCTTTTACCATGTATAGGCCTGTAGGGATGAGGAGAGCATGGTTACTTGAATCCAGAAAGAAACAGGATCCTGTACAGTTGGCCATTTTCAAAGGAGCCATGACCTTAGGTTAGAGGGACACAGCCAGATTTAAACTGGGAAAAATATTTTCAGCACATATATTTGACAAGGGATATGTATCTAGAATCTACAAAGAATTTTTACAACTCAATAATGAGAAGACAACCTAATAAAAATTGGCAAATGTTTAACTAACAAGTAAATGAAAAGATGCTCAACATCATTACTCATCCAACAAATGCAACTTAAAATCACTGTTTACCAAACTATCATGTGTGATCTTTTTAATCTGATAGTAACTGATAGTGAAGATGTGAAGCAAGTGGAACCTCCTGCATGTCTGGTGGGAATGTAAAATGGCACAATCACTTTGGAAGGCAGTTTATCAATTTCTTATAAAGTTTAACAGACACTTAACAAAAGTCCTAGTCTTTCCTTGCCAAAATATTTATCACTCACCTCCCCCAAATGAATCCTATGTCCACATAAAGACATAATAGCCCCAAATTGAACACAACCCAAATGTCCAGAAATAGGTGAATAAATAAACAAATTGTACAATAGTCATACAATGCAATGCTATCAATAAAGATGAAAAAAAACCTATTAGTATATACAACCCCATGAATGAATTTCGAAAACATTTTCCGAGTGAAAGAAGCTGGACATGAAGGGAGATTAGGTAGATAGAAAAGAAAATGAGCACAATATTCAGTGTAGGATTCTCCAGCATTGCCAGGTCAAGGAGAAAAAGATCCAAGAGAAGAGTCTGAAAGGGAACAGCCTGAGAGATAGAGGGAAAACCAAGGGCGAGTACTGTTATTGAAACCAGGGAAGAGTGTGTCTCTAGGAGGAAGCAGTGGTCATCTTTATCTATTGCTGCTGTAAGAGCACATGAACCAGAAAACCAGAGTGACCATTGGACATAACAAAATGGAGCACACTGGCAACCTTGACAAGACTTACCACAATGGGAGATGGGAAAAAAGTTTGACTGAAGACGTTTGCAGAGGAAATATGAAAGGAAAACTGGAAATATCAGTTCTCAACAACACGAGCAAGTTGTTTGCAATGAAGGACTTCATACAATAAAGCAAAAGCTGATGTGGAATCAAGGGAGGTTAAGTTACCTTTAATTTGTTTTTTTCGTTGTTGTTGTTCATCCTAGGATTGAAGATACCAATCTGTGTCTGTAGACAGGGAATTATCTAGGAGAGAGAGAGAGAGACAGAAAGAGGAAGTCAATGACTCAGAAGAGAGAATTGCAAAAGAAAATGAATGGAACTGCAAAAATTTGAAGTTATTTAAAAATACATGTTTTCCCTTTAATTTATTGACTGCTAACATTTTTGTCTGCTAATAAAAGTATCATATCAAGATTCCCTTCATCACTCATCTGGCAGGAAATTGGGATCTCGGGTACTCTGCTTTTATATTCTATAAATACCAATTTGATTTTACTTGCATAATTTATAGTCTGACATACTCATTCTGAGATTTGTCTGCATTCATGTATGTGTGTATATATATATGTAAATATTATATATTATATAAATATCATACAATGCTATTTATTCTCACAAAACTAAAATTAAAATATCCTCAACTCTAAAGACTATGGCATTCTAGGTAATTGTAGTGTTCTATCGTAAGAGACTTTGAATATTGTATTGAGGTATATTAAACTGTTATCAAACTGTTCACTTGGGATTAAGAGAGCAAGAGAGACAGAAAATACTAAAATACTAGAAATTTTGTGGAATTAATAAGAAAAAGGAAGTATACTACAGAAAACTAAGCTGAGCATGTCTTTATCAGGACAACAGGGGATAATCACAAAAAGGTAAGGTGCACTGAAACTAGGAGACATACACATGTGTGTGTATAACAGTATTAGCAATTATTACTGGTATAATATTTTATGCAATGATTAAAATGCAACAAAAGTAGAAATTAATAATTAAATGTTTAAGATTTAAAAAGCAAGCAAAACCAAATTTATTTACTTTTTTTAAAGCAAAACCAAATTTAAAAGACAAATGACAAGAAAACTATAGCACACAAAAGAATAATAAACTTATAAAAACTATAATAAATAAGAAGAAATGGAACAAGCAATTTTAATGGATAAAAATGTGAAGTTATTTGTTTTAGAAAGGGAGGGAAAGTAGGCATCAAAATATAAAAAATACCGGTAGCCAGAGAAATATGATAAAATAAATATGAAATATAAATTGCACAGATAACATTTTAATAAACTTTATTGTGGACAAGAGTGGGGGGGAAAGGTGTTCTCATCTACTACCAATAAGAATGTAATTTTGTGCGAATTTTCTGCAGAAATAATTGCTAATATGAATCGAAAGCTTCAAAATGCCCTTAAAAATGACCCAGTAATTCTACTCCTAGAACTTCCTTTTTAAAAAAAAGATTTTATTTATTTATTGATGAGAGACACAGAGGCAGAGACATAGGCAGAGGGAGAAGCAGGTTTCCTACAGGGAGCCCGATGCAGGACTTGATCCCAGGACCCCGGGGTCACTCCCTGAGCAGAAGGCTCAACTCAACCACTGAGACATTCAGTTGGCCCTTCTTCTAGAACTTTCTCAGAGAAATCATTAGTTGTCTATAATTATTTTATGTATAAGAGTATCTGCCACACGAAGAAAGGGAGTAAAGACTCCAAACAATCAATAAAAGGTATCAATTATATACATTATTTCTCTCTTTTTTTTTTACTTTTTTCCTCTCAGTTTTATTAAGAAATAATTGCTATACATCACTGTGGATGTCACTGTGGACAGCGTGATGGTATGATTTACATATATTGTGATCACCACAATAAGTTCAGGTAACATCCATCATCTCATATAGATCAAATAACAAGAAAAGAAAGTACGAAAAATAGAAAATAATAATTTTCTTTTTATGACTAGAAGTCTTAGAATTCATTCTCTTAACTTCCCTGTGTATCATATAGCGGTCGGTCTTCACTATAGTCATCAAGTTTGCAGATTACATTGTAATGTCATAATTCTACATTACCTCCCAGCTTTTATTTATCTTATAACAGGAAGTTTCTATCTTTTGTGCTCAAAAGCTTTTCCTCCAATTCCCCCTTCCCCAACCCTCTGCTTCAGATGACTCACAAGTCTGATCTCTTTTTCTGTTTTTTTTTTTAATTTTACATACAAGTTATACTATTATGATATTCATCTCTGAATTATTTCACATAGCAAAAGGATTTCAAGGTCCATCAATGTTGCTGCAAATGGTAGGATTTTCTCATTTTTATAGATGAGTAATATTTTATTGTATGTTATCACCACAACTTCCTTATCCATTTATCAATCAATGGACACTTAGGTTGTTTCCATGTCTTGGCTACCGTAACACTACTGCTACAAACATGAGCGTGCATCTATCTTTTTGAGTTAGTGATTTCATTTCCTGTGGATATATTTCCAGGAATGAATCATTGGATCCTATGGTATTGATCTCTCAAAATTTTGGGGGATCCTCTATACTGTTTTCCATAGTGGCTGCGCCAATTCACAATCCTGCCAACTGTGCACAAGGACTCCTCCCTTTTATTCACACCCTCACCAGTATCTCTAGTCTTTTCGATAATGGACGTTCTAACAGGTGTGAGGCAATATCTTAATGCGGTTTTATTTTGCATTTCCCTGATAATGAGTGATGTTGAGCATAGTTTCATATACTCGTTGGCCTTTCATATATCTTTTTTGGAAAAATGTCTCCTTAAGTCCTTTGCCCATTTTCTGTTGGATTGTTTGTTTTTCTGTTATTTAGTTGTATGAGTTTTTTATGTGTTAGAAAATAACTCCTTATCAGATATATGGTTTGCAAATATGTTTTTCCCATTCCACAGATTGTCTTCTCACATTATTGATGGTTTCTTTTGCTGTACAGAAGCTTTTCATTTTGATGTAGACTCACTTGTTCATTTGCAATTTTGTTGTTTGTGCTTTAGTTGTCATATCCAAGAAATCATTACCAAGATCCTTGCCAAGGAGTTTTTTTTATTGCTATGTTTTCTTCTAGGAGTTTCATGGTTTCAGGTCTTACATTTAAGTCTTTAATTCATTTCAACTTAATTTTTATAAGTGTTGTATGAAAGGAGGCCAGTTTCATTCTTTTATACATTTATCTCAGCGTCAGTTATTGAAGACTATTTTTTCTCCACTGGGTATTCTTGGCTCTCTTCTCAAATATTAGTTGACTATATGTGTGGGTTTATTTCTAGGCTTTCAGTTCTCTTTCATTAGTCTATTTGCATGTTTTTATGACATATTATTAAGAATAGTATTCTATTATTTTGATTACTATAGTCTGAAATCAGGAGGTGTCATGCCCCCTGTTTTGTTCTTCTTCTTCTTCTTTTTTTTTTTTTAGGATTTCATTGGCTCTTTAGGGTCTCCTGTGGTTCTGTTTTTAATTTTAGTGGTGTTCTACTTCTGTATGAAGTGCCTTTGGAATCTTGATAGGAATTACATTGATCTATATAGATGGCTTTATGTTTTAATGATATTAATTCTTCTAGTCTATAAACATAAGCTACCTTTCTATTTATTTGTGTTTTCTTTTATTTCTTTTATCACTGTTTTGTAGTTTTCAAGAGTAGAAACATTTCACCTCCTTGGATAAATTTATTCCTAAGTATTTTATGATCTTTTTTATGTTATTGTAAATGGGACCAATTAGTTTCTTTTTCAAAAAAATCATTATTAGTGTATAAAAACGTTAGTAATTTTTGCATATTAATTTTGTATCCTGCAACTTTATGGAATTCACTGATTAGATCAAACAATTTTTTTGGTTGAGTCTTTAGGATTTTCTATACATTTCTAGTTTCATGCCATTGTGGGCAGAGAAAATTCCTGGTTATGCTATCCATCTTCTTACATTTGCTAAGACCTGTATATCTAGTAGAGCTACTTTTGCATTTTTCCCCCCATCCCTTCACTCTCTATCTATGTCTTTTTTTTTATAAAGATTTTATTCATTCATTCATGAGAGAGAGAGAGAGAGAGGCAGAGACACAGGCAGAGGGACAAGCAGACTCTATGCAGGGAGCCTGATGTGGGACTCGATCCCAGGACTCCAGGATCACGCCCTAGGCTGAAGGCAGCACTAAACTGCTGAGCCACCTGGGCTGCCCTCCGTCTATGTCTTTTAAGCTAAAGTGAGTCTCTTGTAAGCAGCATATTGTTGGATTTTTTTTTTAAATTCATTCAGCCATGCTACATTTTTTTGAACAATTTAACCCATTTACATTTAAAGTAATTATTGAGAGGTAAAGACTTACCATTGCCATTTTGTTAATTGTTTTCTGGTTCTTTTGTAAATCCATTTTTCCTTGTTCCTTATCCTGCTGTCTCTTTTCTTGTTTTGATGTCTTTTGGTATCAATGTGCTTGGACTTCTTTGTTATGCTCTTTTGTGTAATTGCTAATTTTGCCTTGTGGCTTCCATGATGTTCACATAAAATATCTTAAAATTATAACATCTTATTTTAAGCTGGTAACAACTTAATGTTAATAGAATTCCTAAACTTCACACCTTTACTTTCCCTCTTCCTCAGATTTTAGGTCATAGTTTTTTATATCATGTAACTCTGTAACTAATAATAGATCATTGTAGTTATGGTTATTTTCACTAGGCTCATTAATTTTAACTTTTAATCTAGAGTAGTAAGTGAATTATGTACTATCATAATGAAATTGCAGAATTTATTTACCAGTACCAGTGACTTTTATGCTACCTTTTTTTCTGTTTTTATAATGCTAATCTGCATCTTTTTGCTTCTACCCAATGAACTTTCTTTGGCCATTTTGGTAAAGTGGATCTAGTGTTAATAAACTCCCTCAACTTTTATTTGGGAAAATTATCCCTCCTTCATTTCTAAAGGACAAGTTCACCTGGTATAGTGTTCTTCGTTGATAGGATTCCGCCCCCCACCCCTGTCAATGTATTAAATATGTCATCCCATTCTCTCCTGGTCTGAAATGTTTCTATTGGCAAATATGCCAATAATCTTAAGAAGGTTCCCTTGTACATAACTTTTCTCTTTTGCTGCTTTTTTAAAAAGATTTATTTATTTATACATGATAGACATGGAGAGAGAGGCGGGCAGAGACACAGGCAGAGGGAGAAGCACGGAGCCCGACATGGGACTCGATTCCAGG